GCAGCTTTTGATCATGTTGCAGCTCAAAACAGGTCAACAATATACCCTGTATATTTACTGTAAAAAAGGAAGATCAGCTGATAGAAATCTGACCACGATTGATAGTCGTGGAGCCTACTGTCATTTGACTGAGGTAGAAATGTCTCTTTGTTAACCTGTAGGGAATGTATTACTTCAGCATCTGAAGCACCACCTGGCTGAAGTTTGCTCTTTTGGAACAGTATCTGCTAGGGACATAGGATGTTCTGGTAGTCTGATAAGAAAGATGTTACAAGGAAGGCAGGCCGGTATCGGCTGCAAACTCTCCTCTGTGACATCCCTCCAGGCATCTTTTGGAGTCACTAGAAGAGGACAGGAAGGAGGCCTACCTAGAAAGGGCGGTTCCCCAAATTCCTGTGGGATTCCTTCTCTTTACAAGCCATGCCAAGTGTTCTTTCTAGTCTGTGTCCACAATATCAGAGGGAAGGCAAAACCGTAGTGGCACTCTTTGAAAACTGTTAGGTCCTATTGCAGCTTTTATCTGTTCACAGTGTATATTCACATACTTGAAAGATGACTGCTGTATCACCACCCCTGTGTAGGAAAAGGCTGGTTATACCTGATTTAAGCCTTCCATATAAGGTGCTACATATAGGCAGAGGTCAGTGCTGTGTTTGCTTCTCCTTGCAGTGAAAAAATAAATGGGTCATAATTCCGGTTCCCTCACACAATTGCAAAATATTGCCTAATAATAAGAAATTAGTAGAATGATGTCAAGGATCAAGAGCCAAGAGCAGGCAGCTGACACCCACTCCATCTCCTTCTCATTTCCCTAAGAGACCAGGAATCTCTTCATTGTTTCAAGTGAATTTCTTATGCTTGCAGGTGTCAATTTGAGATTCGTTAAATTAAAGAGAGTTTTGCTATTGAATTCTTCCTGTGTCATCAGCATCCCTTTCTTCTAAGTTGGATTTCTTTCTTCCAAATGAACAGAGCGTTTTGCACATTAAGTGTCTTACGCCTTTTCCTGGCATGTGGGGTATTTCATCATAAAGAAGTGCTTGTAGTTATTTGGTATAAATTCATCAGCTGTTATTTACTGGACCTTACAAATGAGTGAAACTGCATTCTGTTGCTGCATGTTTATTGGAATTACTTGCAATACCTTCACACTTCTGGATAAAGTATCTCTTCCAGCTTCAAAATGGACACGATTGCAGCAGGCTGGCTATGGGTAAGAGGGATAAATGTGAGAAAGGCAGAGTAATGACATGCAGAAGCTCTGTTTAGTCAGTGGATGGCAGAGATAATTCTTAAAGAAATTACTGTGCCAAGGAATTTTCTGTGGCTCCATCACAAACTGTAGTTATTCAGCTCATAGTGTTGGATACATGGCTATTCATACTGGAATTTGAGAAACATGTACTTTTCAGTGGTTCTTTTGAAATAATTAAAAAAGTCAATGGTTGTGACAGGGGTGTAATAAGCTATGCCAGCTTTCTGACTGGAAAATAGGAAGCTGTCCTATGAATTGCCCTTCTTCTTTGCATCACAAGCAAATGCATCACTTTCCTACAGGGCAGAGATACAGTTCAAGGCCAGATTTACTTCTATAGCGATCCCGACTGCTTTGGAGTTAAGAAGTAGACCTGCTTTGATCACCATGTCTCAGTTGTTTCCATGCTCATGATCCCAACAGCAGAAAGATGCTTTAGAAGCTGTGCCAGCCACTTTTGGCAGAAAATTAGCCAAGACTGAACTCCTTGGTTGTGATTGGACCAATTCCAGTACTCAAGCTCCTTCTTTAGTGCTTTTGGGGGATGATTTTCCATTGCATTAGAATTTTTGTTCCATACTGTTAATAGGTAGATGTAGAGACTCTTCTTAATTCTGGTGTCATGCCTAGTTTGGGTATTTTTGGTGTTTGTTTCTTTTTTACACCCCAGTCATGTGACATTTAATGTTTGCAATAGAATAGTAAGAACCCTGAAATGTTTTGCATGATTTCAGGAGGTACAAAGCAGATAAAACAAAAAATAAAGATAAAAAGAGACCTGGCCATATGGATCTTGTGCCTTTGAGCTAGATAGTTTGACCACCTCAGTAGAGAGGCTACTAGTAACTTTTCCTCTTCTTTCACTTTATGTGGGAATGCCATCCCTATGGCCTCCCCTTTCACAGCCCCGCAGGGGGCTGGCGCTCCCAGGCTGGCCCATGATTTCAACGTGATGCTTTTACCGCCGTGGGTTGTTGAAGTGCTGCATGTCCAGGAGCAAACTGAGTGGAATGGGTGTAGTAGTTGTCTTCTGCTGTCTGGCAAATGTGACGTGTCGGGTGAAAAGCAATTGACTGCCAAAACATCTCTGTTTTATTTGTTCTCTCTCCAAACCTGTTCTGCTTTTTTGCGGATCTGCCTGTGATACCTGTCTGAGCCCCCAGAAATCCTCAGATGTCTTGGACTGAGTGGTTTGCCAGGGAAAATTATAGCTGACAAAGGGCTGCAGTCCCATCATTCAGTATGATGGAGGGGTTCCCTTGCTCTCTGTTTTTTTTAGAAGGTGGCAGGGAAGAATTACAGTGTCTGTCTGTGCTCCTGGTGTGGTGGGGAATATGACTTTGTAAGCGTTAGACAGGCAGTGCAAGTGATAAGGTCTCGCAGGATGGAAAACAATTCCTCATTTAGGAGGGGAAACCTCTTCTTCTTCCCCCCAGGGCAGAGAAGTCTGTCTTTCCCTCTCTCTTTTTAAGAAATAATCTCTCATTTGTGTGCTTAGGCTTATTGCTGAGGCATCCCATTAAGAGAGTCACCACACCTTTCTGGTGTGCTCTCAATACTTCATTTGGCCCACCTTGCCTACCTCAAATCAGGCCCCAGAAACTACCTCCACCCTCCCGCCTACAAAGTTTTTAGTAACCAGACGATGTGCATACAGATCCCCTGTGCCAAGGCTGCAGGTAGGTATTCAGAGACGTGCAGCGTTGTGCCGGAGGATCAATGCCCACTCATCCAGCTCTCTACCATCTGCCACCCAGCAGGGCCTTCGTGAGATGATCTGACTCTTTTTCCTGTGGTAACGTCCTTGCGCAGACATGATAGCTCATGGGGGAGACTGGAAGTGGGGAAGATGACCTCCTTCCAGCTGCACCCTGAAGAAGAGCTATGCTACTTTTCAGTCACAGTGTAAAACTTGCTCTGTGTGTTAGCAGAGCAAGTTTTGTACAAGTTTTATATGTATGTTAGCGGGGCAAACCACTCGAGGAAGAGACCAGAAATGAGAATGTAAGAAATGGTAGCTAAATAGAAATGGGTGAGCAAAGCTGTTGTACAAACTATGGAACATTGTTCCTAGAGAAGCCTGGAACTAGAGCCTTTTGGTGAGGCAGGTGGGTAATGGTGTGCCTGGCAGCAGCAGCGCGATGAGAGTGAGAGGTTTGAGGTTGCCATTGAGAGAAAGAGCAGTGGGAAGGCAGAAACAGTTAAAAAAACAAACCCGTGAAGTTTTGTAGAAGACAGAGAAGGCTCAGAAAAGAGGTCAGCAAGGGGAGAGAACAAAGCAGAAGATGCAAAAGAGAAGTTAGATTGCTGAAGAAGATGCAATATAGTTACAAAGACCTGAGGGATGGCATTCAGCAGTAAATCTGAAGATACAAAAGCTACTTGACTCGTTATATGGCACAAGAAGCATGTCATGGTATCACGTGAGCTTGTAAGATGTCAAGATCTTTTTGTTGGTGCCTGGGTGCGTGGTATAACCTGAAGGACTTAGTGGTGGTGCAGCCTACTCTGGTATCGGTGCTTCTGTTACTGACTGGAGAGTATTGTGTGCACTGTCTACAGAGGAACTTTGGGTCTGCTTTCATTTCTAAGGAATCCAATTTGCGTGTATTGGGGCTGCTCCACACCGGTACATGGGGGTGGGGGTATTTTAAAAGGACTGCCGAACATGCTAATGTAAGCATGTCCAAAGGAAACACGTTTTGTGGATCAGCATATCATTATCTTGGAAGTTGTGCCTTAAATGCTCGTTCCACCAAGGTTAGTTAATTTATTCTGTGATAAGGTTGTAAATGAGTAGCTGGGGGGTTCCTCTTAGGTTCTAGAGATACTCTTTCACCTTTGTTTCTTCTGTGATGCATAAAAAAAGACAGGAGAGGGATTGGTGTAAGGCACTGAACTGGGTCTTTCCTAAAAAATACTGAATTAAATTTTTGGCATTTGCTAGGATAGGAGGAGAGACCTGCTTATCTGTTGTATTTAAATTCTATAGTCAAACAGATGCAAAGGTAGGTGACTTGTTACTTCACCACGATGCGTTTTGTAACCCTGTAATACAGTTTGGCTCAGTCCTTGTAGAGCAGTGGAGGGAGCAGGTTTGATTGTATTGTCGATTCCTGCCTGCTGAAATTTGCATCTCCATTTCACAGGTGTTATTATAGAATAAAAAAGCCTGGCTTGCACCTCAAGCTTCAGTTTGTTTCCTTTGGTCAAATACCAAAATAAGGCAGTCGTTTTACCATGAAGTAGAAAGCCTGACCAAATAAGTCACTAATTTGGGCAAATGCCAGTTGGAGAAGTGCTTCATGCACATTACATGAGTTCTAGAGGAGATGATTTTAGGCAGTTTGAAAACAACACCTACTTGGTTCTGTATTGTAATTTATTGGTGGGATGCCTTGTGAAAACTAGTTGTCACGCTGACAAGTTTCCTTATTGGCAGTATCCTATCACGTAGCACATATTCTCACTTGTCATGTTTTTTTCTTTCTTCTCCCATGTATTATATCTGGTGAGTAAATGCTTATCAATTAAAAGGAAGTGGGTGGAGGTTAGGGCGGGACAAGGGGTAGAAATTACATTGTCACTGAGAGTATCTGTGGTGTCAGGCTTCAGAGAGATAACTTTAGCTCTTAGAATGTGTACTTTTTATTTTCCTCTGTCTCTTGAAACTTGCTGGATTCTCCACTACAGATGAGCATATATTTGCAGAAAGGCGACAGGTTGGCATTTTGAAGGAGCAAGCATGGAAGAAAATAGAGAGAGCTATGGCCTCGCAGAGGGCAAGATTTTGTCTATCTGGATGATTTTGTTTGTGGTGTTAATTTTGTTGCCTTCGATGTTTAGAGTGTCATTGGGGATTTCTCATTTCTATGTGAAAATTCTAATAAAAATATTAGAGGTAAGTTGAGAATTGGGTTAAAGAGGTATGTGTTTACTACAGGATGTGTTTAATGAAAAAAAAAAAAACCTGTATGTTTGATATAGATGCCATGAAAGTCAGCAGAAAGAATTCCAGTAACTTGGATGTGTTGTTTGCAGCTTTAGCTTATATGATAGGTCTTTTGAATGGTGTCTTTAATGATATCTAGTTATGTGCTGGGTTATAATCTGGTACCAGTTTGAGGTTTTCTTGGGTTAAAGCAGAGATTCCATGCCATATTGTTTCTAGTTCAAGCTGGTTAGAATACTTCATGCTATACTCATGGCAAGTCAAATATAAATAAAAAGTCGTATTAGTTTGTGGGAGTTGGTAAGTAACAAGAACGTGTACTTTAGCTGTATGTAAGTTTCAGTGGGTTTATTTGGATTATTTTAATTACATGGTATTAATGATTACTCTTCTAGGCAAGAACACTGACTCTGTTTGCTTCATCAACTTATAAATCTGGGGGATCCAGCAATGACAAATTCTGCTGTATGAGACTTGAGGAATCCATGCAACCTTCTAAAAGTGTAATTTTTCTAGAGATGAACAGGTCATGGCTAAAATCCTGATTCTGCTGATATCAGTAAAAGTTTTCTAGGGCTTTTAATAAGCCAGAACTGCATTTGATTTTTCAAGTCTGACTTTTCATATCCATCAATGGCCAAAAGTAGGTTTTATGAATTCATCATATGGAACGGCGAAGCATTTCCATTTTCCAGTAGATAAACTTTGTCTTTGTGGCATAAATCTGCTTTTCATCAATATACTTTCTTCTTGTGGCAGAAAACTTCTTACCAGTATTGTTACTTTTGATTATTATTAAGCTGTTAGAGCCATCTATTTGTGCAGTAGAAGACGTCTGTAACAACGTGATACAGTTAATATCGTGACCATCCTACCTTGCCAATTCTGTCTTATAATTCTTCTGACTTTTTTTTTCTTTCTTTTCTTTTTACTACTGATTAAGAGCTCTTGGGCAGGGACTGTCTTCAGCTGTATGAACATCATTTAGCATAGTGGACATGACTGCAAACTTTAGCGGTTACTTGTTTTTGCAGATACTGATGTCAATCGGAATTGACTGCCTGCAGTGGCTGTATGTAATATTAGCTTTTATATGTGATACTTTTTTTTTTTTTTATCAGCCAGTGGTATGTTAATTATATTCTTATTGGTACCTTGAGTAACAGGCTCGTGGCACTTGTATGTGGAACTGATTTCATCAGGCTCTGTCATCTCAGACACAAACCTGAGAAGGTCTTTGGATAGCTTTGCTGCTGCAGTTGGCAGGCATTACAATAATTTCTGCATTTTTTTTTTCCCCTGTGCATTTCCCAACTTTGAAAGACATTTGACCCGCTCAATGGATGCCTAATATATGAAGGCACTTCTCTTTGGAAAAGCACGTTAAATGTTTTTCTTTCCACAGTTTTTGTAACAGGTTATGAACATAATTTTGCATTCACAATATGGAGGATTAATTTATCAAAAAAGAAGTAATTAGGTTAATTGTTAGTCAGATATAGCCTTTTATGTCTAGTTCCCTATTGCTACGGCAGCTAGTAACAGGAAAAGCACAGCTTCATGTGCTGCAGTTCAGGCTGGCTTGTTTTGTTCTTTAGTTGGAAGTTGTTCCCTAACTGTACTGTGGGCAAAAAAGGAGTTTCCTCTGTTTTCATCTTTCGAGTAATTCCAGCTCTTTTCTTTGAAGTATCATTCGTTGGCTTCTCATCGTGCCAAAAGAGTAACTAAGAGCTAACTTGGTGGGAAATGAGAGGGAGAGAGGATGGAGGGAATGTTAGGTTCCCTTTGCTTGCGCTGTGGCCCACTTGGCTCTTCAGACGTAAGGCCAGGGCTGGGAAATGCTGGGTTAAAGCTTGTGCGTGCAATTGCTGGGCCTCTTCCAGGGCTCACTCACCAGAATATGGCTAAAATTGCTGCTTGGGATACAGTTAGCTTTAAAGCAGGCTTATATGCACTTTTCCTTCAAAACACGAACAACTTGACATTGATAGCCTAGTGAAGTGTTGACTTCTTTCGAGCTCTGACTTTATCTACCTGAGATCTTGCTAATGGGGTAATGCACAAAGACCGTTCTTGGTTCCCATTGTTAGCCTGAAGGGTGACATAGGATGCCTTACCGGATAACTACGCTGAAAATGGAAAGAGCAGATGCTTAGGGATGTATTAGCACACTACTGACTATACTGCAGGAGTAGCAGTGCTCTAGGAAGTACCAAACAACTGGTTGATGTTTCGCCAAAACCCCAACCTTGAGCACTATGACTGGATTCTCCATTGTGTTGCATTTGGGTTAGTCTCCTATGTAGACCAGCAAAATTAATGGAAAACTTCTCCCTGAGAACACTTTATATTTGCTTCTTACAGCTTTAAATGACTACGCAAATTGGGAGGCAGAGGGAAAACATGTCTTATTTTCCTCCATGTTTTGTCAATTTGAGAAAAGTAAGAGTAGAGACTGAAATCAAGGACTTTAAAGTCAAAAGATTTTTTTTTTTCAAAGTTGTATTTTAAAAGAAAGCATATCTGTAGCTCCTACTGAATTTGCTGGGAGCTCTAGGTCTTTTAGAATAAAGCCCAAGTTTGCAGATCTGTTACTAAGCAATGAGTAATGGTGGCATATGATGAGGTAAGTAATTTTGATTTCCTGACCTCACTGAAGTGTTTTACCAGTGTGAACAGTGACTGGAACAAATGAGCAAGATGTAATTTATGTATGGAAAGAATTAGTACCCTTTGCTGCTTCTCCATCAGGGAATCTAGATACTTGTCTTTTAGAAACAAAACAAACCTTTTTACAAAAGCAAGATTCAAGATTTGAAAATTTGGGAGGTGATTATTTTTGTTTGTGGGTTTTTTGGTTTTGTGTGGGGTTTTTTTTTTTGTTTTGATGACGGTGGTTTTTTGGGTTGTTTTGTTGTGTGTTTGGTTTTTTTTTTTAGGACATACACATAGCATAATAGTAAAAGATCTCTGAGACAGTAATTTCTCAATTGCATAACTGTTAGCCCATAACTACTATTATTACCGTTCATTTATCCTTAAAATATTTCTGGAAATGACGAAGATGCATTTGGTTTGGTTTCCCATAGGGTTATTCTTTCCCATGTTCTTGAAAGCTTTTATTTGTGAAATACCATGTTGTCTCTAAGTTTTGTATTTGTCTGTAATGGGGATTGGTGGAAATGAGGATACTAGCAAAACTGTGCTAAGGACGTTATTCCAGCTCTTTAGGGTTGCAGCTGCAAAAGAAAATGCATTTGCTAGAATGAAATCTATACTGTGCTCTCGCAGTCCTGTGGAGAGTCAAATAAACCTGTTAAACAGCTGTAGCTCTATTTGCCAAGAATCTTCTGGAATTTTATGAGATCTGAGCTTCTCTGTGAAATTGAGAGTATTGCTGTTTCTTGAGAAATACTCACATGTAGGAAAGACATCAGAGAGCTAATAATCGTGGATATTCTTTGAATGGATAGCTCACTTGTACGTTGAGGTAGCTAGTACGCTGTAAACTCCCACTGGAGCATGCGCAGATGTTGCAGACGCTTAAGGTAGTGGAAGAAACTCACTGCTGTGCTTTCAAATACATGGCTATCTGCAGCTAGCCACTGCAGCAAAAAACAAATGATACTTGTGCTTTTATCCCAAACAAATGTTTGAGACCCTTCTCAACCTATTTTATTTGCCCTCGCTAGCGCAGCCAGGAAATTTGTGAGCGCTTTTCATGGTCCGGTTGTGGACAGTCACTGCCTGCACATCCTTTCAGACATGCAATATAATACACAGATTGTTTGATTTGGGTTCTCGTTTGGGATGTGAGAGGGGAAATGAGGCCAGACAGAAAAAACTGTTGACTGAAAACATCATAAGTGCTTGATCTTAGACGGTGATTTTAACTTGCACTAAAAACCTACTGACCTTCTCTTTGTAATTGTGTTGGAAGATTTTACATGCAGTAACTGCCCCAAGGTCTTTGTCACACATGAGAACAAAGCCAAGAAGAGGCTTGAAAAAAGCCAGTGTAATGAGTGATTAGAAAAAGCTTTTGTGAGAACATGGGAGAAAAGGTAGTAAAATATGGGAACGTAGAGGAAGAGAGGCAAAAATGAATTATTACGGGGTATGGAAAAATGGACTACTGAACAACACACCGAGCTGCACTTAAAAGGAAAAAGGGAGGGAAAACCAGAAGTAGTGAGATTTTTAAAAAACGAACATTCTGTATAGTATAGCTTTTCATGTCACGTACTATGAAGAAAGTAATTAATATAATCAAGTATTAGGCACCCTTATTTTGTTCAGAATGTAATTATAGCAAGCCTCAAACAAATGGGCTGTTGGAGTTAAGCTCCAAGTCTTAAGTTAAGTCTTCAGTATTCCAGATGGGATCATCCACTGGATGTTTGGACTCCTTTTGTCCTCATCACTTCAGAAACGGGAGGGAGGAAAGCACAGCACCTGAGTTCCAATTCGATCAGCAAACTTAGGAATGAAGTTGCTCCATTTAATGCTCAAATTCTATGTTAGTTGCCACATCTGTGTTTTTGCAAGGTATCTAAAACATCCTTTCATTACTGTTTTGCAACAAAGACCAGCATGACAGGTATGTCTCAATACTGTGACAACAAAGGTGATCACAAAGCCTTGTTTCATATTTTAAAAACAAATTAAACATACAGATGCCACCGAATGCAGAAGAACATAGAAACTACTCTGCTGGGTCAGTCCAGAGTTTGACCCAGACAGAAAGCCTGGCTTTGACAGGCGTCAACTCAAATTGCTTGATGAAAAGCCTGAGAGCTGGGTGATTGTATGGCCGTGTTGCCAGAAATACCCTCCCAGATGCTTGTTGCTTCAGCCTCCCATGCTGATTGATAAGTTAGGAGAGTTTTGTGTCCCATGATGATTTTCATCCATGTTTTTATGTAACTGCCAGAGATCAACTGAAATGGGAGCAATACGTCCTGGACAATGAACTCCACAACTGAACTGTGTTTTGTGGAAATACATTACTTTTTTCTTGCTCATACACCCTGCCTAACACTTTCATAAGATGCTCCCCAGTTCTTCTATTAGAAGAGAAAATGGATAACTGTTCCTTATGCACCTGCTCTGTGCCACTCCACACTTTGTAGACCTCTGTCATAGGCTGTCTCAGCCAGCTCTTTGCCAAGCTAACAAGCCCTGTGTAAACATTCCTCTATTGAAAGCTCTTCCTCACCTGCCTTGTCTCTGCCTTTGTAGCCTTGGCTGACTATTTAATTACAGGCTGTCACTTTTGTCCCACTGTTTCTGTGTGCTGTGAGTCACTAGGTAATAGCCTGGCAGGACTTTATACTGTACTAGTCAATCTTGTAAGTTTTGGTTTTAACTTGTCTTGCTCATTTGAATTGGTTAACTGTGAGACAGTTTGGGCAGTGATTATCGCCCTTTTTCTCCCTGGGATTCAAAAGCCAGCCTTCTTGAGGTATTCCAAATCCTTCAAGACGATATGAACAAGCTCATTTCTGGCAGTGCTTGCCAACTGACAGGTGCCTGCTCATGTAGGAGGACTACGATGGGCAAGATAAGGGTCGGAGGCAGGAAAGCAGAGAGTAAAGCAAAGGGTTTTATATACCAAGCTAGGTGATTTTTTTTTTTTTTTTTTTTTCTCCCTCATACCATAAAACTATCCTGAAGGATACTGGGGAAGGGTTGAGGCCCAGCAGTACATTATAAAGAGGTTAAGTTTGCAAAATGTGTGCCTTTACTCTCTTTTGAAATGTTCTTGTTCCTGTGCTGTATATTCTTTCATTTCTCAGTGTGTGGGCTGACTCCCCACTTCTGACTGACTCTCCATGTATTACAAAAGACTGAGACAGATGATGTACCAGTTTACCTTTCACAGGGAATAACCAGAGAGTATAGACAAGGTGAAGGTCTGTATTTTTATTTTTATTTCATGGTGTTATAACAGATGATTTGCATGCAGTTTAAAATATCACATCACTCCCCCTTTTTTTTTTTCTTTCAAGATGGCTGGTAAAAAAAAGTTAACTAAGGGTAATGAAAATATCCTAATTTTGCCATGATAAAGTGTCCCTTTTTTGTTATTGACTTAAACTTCAATAGCTACAGAAGGAGCTCGTAGAAAGCACGCAAAACTTAAGGATGGCAAAAAGCTAGTCAACATTGTTGGCACGTGCAACATGTTGTAATGTGGTGAAGACTATTTGAGATCAAGCTTCGTGGTGACTTAAATGGCTGCGCATGTCAGTAAGAGGGAAATAAACTGTTTAGCAAGAACTTATCCTGAAGCAGAAGGATGTATCCTTATCTGTTGTAGGTGGGAAACCTTAATAGCAGGTGAGGAAATAAGTTGTGTGGGTCATGGATTCCTTAATAATGAGCAGAGCCTACACGCAATCGTCCTATGTCCATTGTTAGGGCAGATATCTTGATGTAAATACGGGAAGATCTAGTCCTCACAAGAGCTGCTATTTGTATGTTTAGGTAGGTATGATGAAAACATTCAAAAACACGAAAACTTCAAAAATTAGGCATATGGGTGTATTTGATTTTGCTAATGGAGGAGTTTTATGCTGCTCTGCACAGGGAAGGGAAACCTGGTTTAGCTCAAAAAGGTAAAGACAGGAAAGGGTGAAAGCTCATTACCAAAACTGCTGCTTCCAAACTACAGTGGATATGAAATGATCCCTGCTCTGTTGTCTTTTAGCAAAACCTGCATGAATGCCCTAAAGCTGAGGTAATCTCTTTTATTCTTTAAAATTAATTTTAGATCTATTTTTCCGGCATGTCTATAATGTCAGTGATAGTATTTTGCATTATTCTGTTGCTTGACGCTAGCTGAGGAAGAGAGAGTTTTGACCCATGGACCTCCTAGAGTCTCTTAGGTAGCTCAGTAATTTGGGGGGGAGAGGTTGGGGGGTTTTGTTTGTTTAAAAAAAAAAAAACAAACCAAAACCAAAGCAACCAAAAACCCCAGGAAAAAAAAACAGCTGCCTGTGTCCTGAAGAGAAGTTTGAGCCAAACTATTTTGCCTGACAATGGCAAAAGATAATCTATGTAAAAAATGAAACGGGAGGCATGCAGGGCAGCCTTCAGGCTGAATTTGAAAAATGAAAATCTAAGACCTAGCCTCAAAGAAGCTCAGACAGTTCGCCTAAGGTGATTACAGAATGCCTAGAATTGATGAAATGAAACCCACCAACATGTACTTTTCTTGTTTTGGGAACAGTGGGCCACCCTGCAGATTGAGGAGGGAGTAAAAAAGCAGAAGGCGCTGGCACTCGAAAATTTAATCTCCACTGGTAAGATCTCTGAATGAAGGAGACACAGCACTATTCATCTTGTAAAAAGTCAACTATTTTAATATCTCATCTGGAAAAGGGGAAACAGAAACATAAATTGCATCTAATGTTAAGTAAGAAAAGTGGAATTTGATGGGCAAATAACTGCTGAAGTTATAAACCTACAAAAGACAGCTTAGATATGTTATACGCCAGATAATCTGTGAATGATTGAGTCCTCTGAATAAAAAGTGTTGGAGACTAGTGTTGGTAGAGAAAGACATTGCTGATAAGCATTTGAGAAGCTGTCCCTGTTTTCATGAGTATTTTGTACTTTCTGACTCCATCAGCTCTCTCTTTACAAAGATTAGGAGGAATGAGTATTCTTTGCCCTTGACATTGCTCTGGATGGGTTCTGTCTTACTTGTAACTCCTAGCATGCAAAAAGACAGACCTCTCAAGTAAAGGAGCTCACCATCCCATGGATTGCTTTTACAATTTGCACTGTTCTCTAGACATGGGGATAAAATGTGAGAAAGTAATATTTTTTTTTTTCTCTCTTCCCAACTGTTTTTCATTTCTTCTTTGACTGAAGGGGACTGGGTTAAGTTCTCGTAATAATCCTTTCACTTGTAGTGCTGTTTTTAGTCATTAGTACCATAGACTGTTTGGTTTGTCAGCTAATGAATTTCAGGTCTGATGATTTCCTGGATGTTGAAACTTTGATTGAAGTGCAACTGGAGGAAAGTTTTGTGATTCTGATCAGGAGGTAGTATGTTGATTAAGATAAATTAAATGTATTTTGAATAATGCATATGTAATGTCATCCAATACCTGCCCTTCTCCCCTCCTCCTCAAAAAAAAAGCCAAACAAAAAAGCTAAGCATTAGCTAGTATGAATCAATACAATTTTAGTCACTGTAACCAGCCAGAATAAGAATCTGGTCTCAGGGTGACCTCAGCAAACGCCACTGAGACTTGCTGTGTGACCGGCCTATGAGGTGTAATTTTAGAGATATGGAGCATGAATACCTTGTCATTCTTCCTGCACAATGCTTCTGTGTTACACTATGTATATCTCAAGGGAAAAATCTAGACACTTTGAAATTTCTTGGTAATGAAGTGACTCTTAAAGGAGAAGAGATGGGAGAAGAGAGAAGGCTCTGAGAAAAAGTATCAGAGGAAGGTGTTTGTTACGGCTGGGAAAAAGTAAAACTAAACAGCAACAAGAACAGCAACTATACAAACACTGCCTGAATTTGAGTCAAGGCACCAGGAGGGGTCTGCAATCTTGGCAGTGCACTATTGATGTTTCTAGGTGTGTGTACGTATGTTGTTTGGTAAATGACAATGAAGTAGGTGATGTGCTCAAGGTTTTTTTTGCAGCTTGCTCTGAATGCTTTTCTGCTTTCTTCCACAGTTTAGTGGGGTTATATGGCATAGGATTAGAGAAGTAACCTGTGGAACTAAATGCCAGTACATAAATCATAGAATCATTTAGGTTGGAAAAGACCTTTCAGATCATCAAGTCCAACCATAAACCTAGCATGGCCAAGCCCACCACTAAACCACGTCCCTAAGCACCACATCCACACGTCTTTTAAATACCTCCAGGGATGGGGACTCCACCACTTCCCTGGGCAGCCTGGTCCAGTGCTTGACAACCCTTTCGGTGAAGACATTTTTCCTAACATCCAATCTAAACCTCCCCTGGTGCAACTTGAGGCTGTTTCCTCTTGTCCTATTGCGGCTTACCTGGGAGAAGAGACTGACCCCCACCTGGCTACAACCTCCTTTCAGGGAGTTGTAGAGAGCGATCAGGTCTCCCCTCAGCCTCCTTTTCTGCAGACCAAACACCCCCAGCTCCCTCAGCCACTCCTCACAGGACTTTTACTCTAGACCCTAGAGACATAACAATGTTACAAGGTGTAACAATGCAATTACGGTGCCTGGAGTGGGAGGAGAGCTATTTCTAAAAAGCACATGTATTTTACTCTTTTTGGAATCCATATTGTCCATTCCACTGTGTGGAAGGAAGACTCATTTCCTCATGCAGGGATCATCCAGAGACAGGAAACCTCCATGGAAGAGGAGATTGCTGGCCAGCACCGAGGATGCTTCAACCTTGCTGATGTTATGTACTTCTCCAAGAAGGGGTGTGAGGCAATTGCAGAAGACGAAGTCACCCGACGGTTCTCCTCCGAGGAGCTGGTGTCCTGGAATCTCCTCAGCAGAACCAATGCCAGCTTGCACCGTGTCAGCTGGCAATTGAGCGTTGTGTGGGTCATTGGGATCCTATTTCGGTATTGTCTCCTGGTGCCTTTTCGGTGAGCCAGATGTAATTTGCTGGGTTCGTTGTTTCATATTACTTTTTGTAAAAGATATGAAATAATGTTATTGACTAGTGCAGAAAGGAGAACCTGGCCTGACTTTGTTTTCCAAGATGCCATCGAAACTCAAATATCCCCAAAAGAAAAAAAAGGTGCTGAAGATGTATGTTTCTGATGTTGTGTATGTTTTATTCGTAATTAAAGTGTTTTTCAAATCCAGCAAAACTTTACAGAAATGACCTGGAGATCTTTTTGTTATGTAAAGTAACAACTGAAAGGATCAGGTTTTACCTGCCTGAATAAAAGGCAGGGAGACTGCTGAGCACTTGAAACAGAGCCAGTGTTCTGGGAGCACAGGGCTAGGTGGAAAAAAGAGAGACATCCACTTGGAAAGTATCAAATTTTCAGACTTTTAAACTTTTCTTTTAAGCAAAACCAGCCTTTTTATCATATTGACCAAACAGTTACAAATATTCATGTGTTCTTCTAAAGACCAGGAGCTTTTAAAATGTCTTACTCCTTTAATGGGAGGACAAGGTATTCAAAACATAGCTGCAGCACATGGAGGGAGGTATGTTATACCAGTCAATCACATAGCAAAGCACATATGCCTGTGTGTGAACTTAGATATGCAGCTTAAGAAGACAACATTTATGTGGAAATGGCTTCAATATTGGCTTAGCTCAACCATTAGCAACCAATGACGCTTAATTTTCATGATTATATAGTAGCTTACTGCTTGGAGCGGAAATACGTACTGAAATTTCCAGATAGGTTTTTAAAAATGAAATGATGGGTCTCTTTTGGCACTGGGAATTCTCACCTGCATTAAAGAACCCTAGCCACTACTTGCCGTCCTCTTTCAACACGATGGTGTCTTTACCATGTGATAGCTTCAGATCAAGGCATGGTGCTTTTTGGAAGACAGGCTCCAGGCAGCACAAGATTTTGTACTCAATGCAGGATTAATTGAGTGAAAACGTGCTCATATTACCCTGTTGATCTTAACTGGTTTGTATTGCTAGTTAGATGCTATTAATGGTAGAGGGAAGCATTCTGCAATGAATCAAAGGATTAAATAAAATACTTTCTTCTTTGCTCTTCCAGTTTTACTTTTAGCATTTAATTAAGACTATTTTACTTTGTAGTGTCTGCTTGGCTGTTTTCAGCATCCTCTTGCTGGTCTTGGCCACTACAGTAGTAGGACAGTTTCCAAACGGCAGGTAGGTGTTTGCTGAGGGCTCTTTCAATTTCTTTTTTATTTCTTTAAGGATTTGAATTAGTGTGTTACAATATAAATCTGCTTGAGTCTGGAGGATTAATGTGAACTATCGTGCGGTGATTTTTTATTTTCCTTACTGTAAGCTCATAGAGCACGATGAGAGAGAATATGACGATGTCATCTGAAAGTGGATATGCAATGTAAGCCGGGTAGATACTGATGGAAACCTGTCCTAGGGTGGAAAATAAAGAGTCTGCTCTACTTGAGTCAGACTAAGGCAAGTAAATCTTCTGTCCTGAGCAATTCCATATTAATACTGTGAGATAGTTATGTCCTGTCAGTGCAAAAAAAACCTCAAACGTGATTCACCAGCTAAGTATTTTTATATTTAATTAATGTTAATGAGTAAGTCGATAGCAGTTGCTTCCGGAGAAAATCTATAAAACAAAGCCCTGACTACTATCTTCCCTGCTTTGAATCAGATGGGTTTAGAATAGATTACAGTAGAAGAATGGACCAAGAATATCTTTGATACCAAAGAAGTTCCTCCTGCGTGGTGTTGTTAGCACAACTGAATCTTCTTGCTACAGTCTTTGTAATAACAGCTATTGGGAATAATTTGGAGAGTTTTCATTACGTTGTTCTATGAGCGACTACACAGAACTGGAAATGTATGTACGGCTTTGTTTCTTTTAGAGTTAAACGCTGGCTGAGCAACCAGGTTCAGATGATATGTGCCACGTTAGGCATCCGATGTCTGAGTGGTCTTGTTCACTTCCACAACAGGTGAGTGGTGCCACCCTGCTCTCGTTGGTTCGGTATTGATTTCTTACAGTACTCAGTGTCTCAAGTTTCAGAGCAGGATTCTTATTCCATTACTGTATGGATACTATGACGGTGCAGTTTGATCCAAGAAGCTGTTTAGATCATCTAGACTCTGTCAAGTTGTTTGCATGCCCTTTGTATTTTCTGTTGTGTATTGGCAGAGTAAGCGAAGGTGGAATAGTACTGCATTCTTGATTAAACATACACTTAGACATTTTTCTCAATGCTTGCCATGAACATGTTATAATCACGTGCAAGAGCATCGCCATAAAATGTTTGACTGTTCTATTAGCTGATTTGTTTGGTAACTAATCTTCACAATCTATCCTAAAGTAAGTTATGGATGGTATTTCAGTAAGTTTTTGTAATATCTTGCTTCCTTAGTGGTGGAGATTTATGTAATGGAGGCTTCTGAAATATTTTTTTTGTTTCTGCTTCAGAAAACAAGCAAAGTCATGCTCTAGTGTCTTTGCTTTTAGAGTTTTAGCATCCAAATAGTCTTTGATACATACCTATACGAATGGTAATGTACGCAGCTAAAATGCCTACTCCAATGAAGTCTTGTATTCTCAGCTAAAAGGAAACTGGTGAAAATATGGTGAAATGCCAAAACTACTGAAATGTGAAGGGACTCTTGAAAACGTGAGGAAAGATGACTTATCTGCTGTAATGTACTGCCAGAAGTTTTGAAGTATATCACAGTAATGTTAGTATTTTAAAATGTTTTGTGTTGTTCTACTTTCTGTGGATCTGCAGATGAGCTGTGTCCCTGAAACGCTTTTGTCACTGAGAGTCTCAGTTGTGGAAGTATGCTCACTGGATGGGTCACCTGATGGGGCCTGTAGTCTGGAGAATAAACGTTAAGTAATTACTTTTATGGTTGTCACTGCAGGGAAAACAGACCGCAGGAAGGAGGCATCTGTGTAGCCAACCACACGTCTCCACTAGATGTTCTAATCCTGGCCAGTGATGGATGCTATTCCTTGGTACGAACAAGAGAGTCGGTAAATATTGGTAATGTTGAGATGCCCGTAGATGTAGTGTTGGGGAAGAGGATAAATTTACTGGTAGAAAGAGTGGGATTTGACAGCATTCAAACTTGTGTTCAGGACTGTAAAATAATAGACACAGGCAGGTGTGCGCACACTTTTGACCAAGAGGATTGGTATAATTTGTGAACAGACTCAGAAACTGGTGCATCTGTGTTCAGAATTTTATCATTTAAGTGTGTGCGTGTTTGCATAGTAACCGATTTCTTTTGGGTTTGCAGGTTGGCCAGGCACACGGAGGACTTCTGGGGCTTATTCAAAAATCTTGCATGCAAACTTCTCAGCATGTTTTGTTTGAACGCTCAGAAATGAAAGACCGTCATCTGGTGAGGAAAAAGTAAGGTATAATTGTCCCGTCAGGTCTAGTAATTGTGAGATCCAAGGGTGAGGCGTGACTGTTCTCACCCTGCATCTCTCTTTGGTGGGCAGCTGTAGGTTGTCATCAGTGTGAGGCTTGGAACTGCTCCATCAATGAAGGTGCAGGGTGTAGCAATCATCTACTGAACTTTTGATCATTTGCCCTCTAACCTCTGGGAATTTCCACATTGCCACAATTGCTTTGTCTGCCACAGGCAGGAGCCTGTTTGTTCACTTTCCAGGCTCACAATTCGGGATGTCGGGACAGAAATCGGAGTTCTGTCAGCGCATCTGCTTCCCGGATCATGCCTTGCCCTGATACATTTTTCATCAGCTCCGAGCATCAAAGCTGGTTATGTCTACTGTGAGTACAGGAAAAAGGGAGGCTGATGGTAGGGAGAGAAAAAAAAAAAAAAAAAAAAAAAGAAGAAAAATGTAAAAATAAAATAGACCGAGGTGCCGCCTAGCTGCTAGAAGCTGGAAGAGCATCCTGGAGAAGTGTCATAATACGTTTGCTTACTGCCTATACCGCTGTCCTGCAGAATTGATTCCTGGCAGAGACAGCATGTTGGACTTTCAGGACATGAAGAGGATTGACTCAGTAGGGCAGTTCTTACATTCTCGGGTGTTTACAGAGACTGCTCATAGTCATCCTAAGTCTTCATGAACTAGGGTGCAACGCAGCTAACATTAGGTGTCTATGACAGTTTATCCTTAGAAAAATGGAGAGGATCCCCGCCCCGTGCTGGATCATTCTCTCCTTTATTTTGATAGCAGATATTTTGGGTTTGTTCTTTAATGCAGACTGGAGAGGAACTGCATGCTCTTGAGTCACAGGAAAGACAGTTGCCTCAGAAAACAACAGATGTTGTGTATCAGTAATCTGCTTAGTGGTAATACATTTGTTTTTAAGTGATCCAGCAAATGTAGTAAAATAGTGGCCTATCTCTTAACTAGAAGCGGAGAATCATTAGATACATATAAAACTGGTGTTATGAACCTGGAAGGCATGAAAACTTGACATATGGAATATACGTCAGTCAAAAGAAAAGTTTGACTGTGTTCATAGCTGGAACCTGCCAAAGATAAATGGGAAGCGATTTTTACGTGCTTCAAGTACCACTGTTCTCTGGCTTCGTGTTAATTGGGTTAAAGTGGTGAAATAAAACAGTATACAGTTTTGTAGAAAGCCTGCTTTTGTAATTAGCAAGAGATAACCTCTGAGACAAAGGCCTGAAACTAGCTCGCGTCCTTGCTGAGGCTACTGACTGGCAAAGGGCAACTGGGCAAGGGCTCTTCTTGTCCTGTGTAAGAGGTAATGGATGTTCAGATTCTTGGCCAAATATAAATATGAGTCTTCTATGAAAATGAAGTATACACTGAAATTTCATTTTCTCTCCACAGGATTAGAGAACACATTGCAGATAAGGCCAAATTACCCATTTTAATTTTCCCAGAAGGTAAGAAACAAATATAATGATTTTATTGCTCTTCTCACTTCTTGCCACTGAGTGCAATTTATTATACTCAGTCTTTGCAAGTGAGGTGTTTGGTTTTAGTCTGTAGAATTAATTAGCTCTTGTGAGATATTAAAAGTCAGATTCTAACATTTTATAACAGTTTTATGAGAGTCTCTTTGCTTTAGTGTGTAGCATAATGGAAGAGAGAACAGGCTCTGGAATTATGTCTCTGAACTAAAGCTTACTTTCTCCTTTAGCACCTTAAGTCTCCTTAAGACAGTTTAGGATTCATTTGCTGATACTTTTCTTAGAGTGGATTAAACTTTTCATCTGTTTTAATTCTGGCCAGGCACCTGCATAAACAACACATCAGTAATGATGTTTAAGAAGGGAAGCTTTGAAGTAGGAGGGACCATCCATCCGGTAGCAATCAAGGTAATCTATCTGCAGTTTTACAAACACAGAGGGATTATTTGCAGAAACTTCTCATGTCAGAGAAAAGCTGTTCATGTCTAAACCTTAAAAAGGGGGTTGTTCTCTGTGAATAAGGTCCTGAATAAGCCCTGAGAAAACGGAATCTTTTCATGGCGTGCAGTGTCTTGCAGTTCGATGCAGTATGGGAAATGTTTCACTGAGTGGCTTTACAACTGGTTAGGACCAATCCGAAAAGCACCGTTGGCAATTGCTGTGCTGCGTGTTCAGTTCTGCCTGCTTTTTCTGTTCTAGGGCTCCCAGCTCTTGTGTGCTCTGGGGATAAAGGTGCTTCTCCTCTCACTACAGGGGTTTTCTGAGTAGCTTTAGCCAAGTCACCCTAGCTCTAGATACATTAGTTACTTTGTCTGGAGCTATAATGTTGCCTAATCTTACGGAAATTGTTACAACTGATGTGAGTGTTTTCAAGGAAACCTTTGAGGTCAGCATATCTGTAGATGACAAGTCTTTACATTTTGAGTAGATCTATCTGGTTATAGTGGAGATGTGTTTCAATGGGTCTGTTGCAGTCTGGGGTCCTGCATTGCTTGTAAAGGTTCACTGTTAGAAACTTGTAATAAAAATGTTGACATGTGGAACTTTACTCTGAATTTACTGCTGCTTGTAGAAGGTGTAATCAGATTTGCCCCTGATTTAACAAGTTGAACTGGGACTTCATGGCTGAAAAAAAGAGTAGCTTATGTGCTTTAACGTAGCAGATCACACCCTTTCACTTACTCCTCTTGTCCTGCAGTATGACCCCCGCTTTGGAGATGCGTTCTGGAACAGCACAAAGTATTCCGTGATGACCTACGCTTTTAATGTGATAACCAGCTGGGCTATCGTCTGTAACGTGTGGTACTTGCCACCAATGGTCAAAGAGGTATTTATGCTTTCGTATATTTTGAAAATGCTCATAAAACGTTGTCTGGGAGGAAGTCTGCATTACTACGCATGGTGTGTTGGCCTTATGGTTGCGATCTTTATTGACAAATTAATGGACAAAGGCTGGAAAGCAACACTGTAGTCTTGAAATTAAGTGAGCACGGATTTATGTGGGTTAGTTGTCTTCAAGTAAAAACTACTCTTGCAGAGATTCAGATATTTCTGCACCATGCTTCCTATTGCTCCCAAACAGCTTCTTTGCTTGGCTGTGGCTGCCTTGCTTTCCTCTGCTCCCAGAGACTGGAAGAGATGTTAGAATGTGGTTTTATGCCGCAGGGAGTCCTGCCCCTCAGCCTGGCACAGACCTCCCTCTTTTACTCCAGAAGCGATACACAGATTCAGGCCTTCTCTTCACTCCGTACTGGGGTGCTCTGCCTTTCTGTGTCGTTCCCCCCTCCCCCCCCACCTGCAGAGCTTCCTCCCACCTCCTTGTTTCTCAGCCCTGCAGAATATCCAGCCTCTCCTTTGCCCAGCAGCTTTACCCCACAACTCGGCACAGGCTCTCAGCCCACTGCCCCTGGGTACCGACCTGACGCCAACAAGGTGGTTGAGGCCTTTGCCCCGGTTTGGTACTGCCTACCCCGGTGTTTGCTCAGCCCTAGCCTGGGTGAGGAAGCTGCTGTAAGACGTGTATCTTCAGTCCTCTGCAGTTTGGGCAAACAGACTCTTGTGAACTCACGATAATTCACTGATCCTGACTGTGCCAGGCCTCAACCCCGTTCAGGGCACCTCATCTCCTCCAAGGTGATGCTGTTGGTGCGTTCCTGGCTTCAGACTGGTACTGGGAGCAGACGCATCCCCTGCTCTGGTCAGGTCTGTCACCTCACGCTGTGCAGTGTTTGAGATCACCCCGGAACCCGCAGAGTCTCCCACATTGTTCTTTTCATCGCCAAATGGTGGCAAACCAGGCAGCGTTCCCCAGGGCCAGCTGGAACTGCATACACCCAAGCACCTACAAAAAATATCTCTTTAAGTGAGACATGGAGAAAATGTTTAAATTGCAAAGCAAATCATTCATATATCTTTTCAGGAAGAAGAAGACGCCGTTCACTTTGCCAACAGAGTCAAGTCTGTCATTGCTGCTCGGGGAGGAATGTCTGTGCTTCCTTGGTAAGAAGCAACACCTTTGAAGCTGGGTTTAAAGCCGGGTTTAGGTGCTGTGCATTCTGAAATGTTAGCCTGGAATCTTATAAAACTTCTTCCAGATTTGCTTTGCTTGGGCTGCAGTCCATCATCCTCACTGACTCTGAGTCAGAAAATACTACTTTATTCCGTCAACATTTCCACTAGAATAAATAGACTAATATAGTGTAAAAAGAGAAACAGAGCTGACAGGTGGATCTAGCCAGCAGGTAGTATTTGGTGAAAATAAATTAATTATTTGCCCATTAAATGCTGGATTAAAGGAAGGACATTGTTTGTGTTATGTGGTAAAGTCTTGGCAGTACAGACCGTTTAGCGTTGTATTGCAAAATCCAACATTTAGGGTGAAGACTGCTTTGACTGCGTAGTCTAAATACTGTAATGTTTTCCTGCCTTGACCCTGAAGTGAGCTCAAGGCTGTTTCTTTTTTGTATCTTTCAGGGATGGGGGACTGAAAAGGAAAAAGGTCAAAGAGTCTTTCAAGGAAGAGCAACAGAAAAAATATTGCCAGATAGCAATAGAAAATGGATCTGTGGGAAACGGAAATGTTTATTAAATGGTATTTATTTTATCTCATTTTTCCATGCCTAATCTCCACCAGAAAACGGGCTATTTTTTATACAAAATCCGACATATTTTCCTTCTGTCCTTGTAAGATATTTTGCATATAACACAGCAGGGAAACCACAAAGAGATAGTATTTTGTATTAAATACGGATATCACTTTATAATTAGAAAGATTTACAATATACTGGTAAAATTGTCTCCGATCTTCAGTGAGAAGAATCTGCAATAAAATTACTTAGGTTCATTAAAACACCATTTTTTCTAAACCTTTGAGTTACCCTGAAGACCTAAATGGTAATTTCTTAACCCGTAATAGAACAGAGCTGTACTCCTGGCCTCTCTCAGTGACTCGGACTAGCAGTGCTCCTGTCAGCCCCGGTCACTGTGTTGCTGCAGGGACAGATCTCCTGACGTCAGAAGACATTAAGCAGTTCACCAGAATATGGTTTCCAAATTGCAAGTTGGAGAGGAAGGGTTGGATGTTGGAGGGAAAAAGGCAGTCGATGACTTTCCCCTCCATGTCGTAAGACCAGGGATGGCAGTGCAGGAAGTTTTCCAGGGTCCCACTGACAAACAGCGGAACGGTGTCCAGGGCAGCGTGTCCCTGATGCCTGGCGGGGTGATGCTGGGAGAAATCAGTTGCAACCAAGGACAATGTCATAGAAAAACATACAGTATTTTTAAATTATATTGTGTCTTCTGATTTTGCTATATCCCTTTCTGTGCCTGTTTGTATGCATGACACAAATTAAAGACAACCAATGACATGAACTCTGTTATCCTCTGTTGTAATTATTTCTAGACAGCCACCTGCTTGTCTTACCGCTTGATGTGAGGGCTACTGATTTGCTTTCTGACAAACCCACCCTCCAGATATAAATAGAGCAAGTGCACTTAAGGAATCTGAGACGGTAATATTTCTATCACCTACAGTATTTCTGGGTATAAAATATTTGCTGTCTTGTTAGGTAGAAGAATGTGGAAGAATCTGGCAGCTTTAATGATCTAAATGTCACTAATGAAGCACATACACGCAAATAGGTGTTATTTTGCCCAAGCTGCTTTAAGACAGGTTGGTTGGTTAGGACAGTTAATAAGGTTTACGTGACAGCAGCAGACTGAGGGCTCAGGAGAGATGGAGGAGCTGTTGTGGTGAGCACGAACGCACCCCACAGAAAGACGCGTGTGCAGATACAACACTGCCCAGCCCTGGAAGGTCTAGAGGATGAATATTCAGGGAAGGGGCTAACGGTGGGGATAACTCCCCTGAGGCTGCGTGGCACAGAACTGAGCTCTCCTCTTCTGTGGCCTGGCGTTATCATCCCTGGGTTTAGTAGCTTACAGGTGTGTGAATTCTCTTGGTGGGATCAGTCAGGCCAAATTTTGGTGTCATAGGTAAGCAGGAGGAGAAACTGCCTTTTTTGAAAAAGCTATTAGCCACCCAGGTGGGGAGAGTGCTGGCAGTTTGGCTACAATGGCAAATTGCTTCAGGCTCTCCTATTGCGAGAGGGCTACTTGCTCCTGACTGCAGTAAGCTGTGCTTCAACAGTCTGTTGAAGCTGTTGATTTAGTTTCTCAATATAAAAATCTGAAGAAATGTGACAGCTTATCCTGATAACTGTTAAATCTCTTTGGTGTGCCAGACTTTAAAACCGGGAGTTTTTCCTTCTGCGTGACTGAGAGTTGCTAACAGAGACTGCAGCTGCACGCAAGGGGTTAGGACAAGCGTTGGGAGCATCCTTCCCACCCGACCGTGTGCTTTGTCATTTGCATTCATCACCAGTGGCCTTGGCAATTGCTTTTAACTGAAATTGTGTACTGCCCTTTGAGTGCCGAGGTGGTGGAGGAATTGATTGTTTGCCAAAAGGACACCACAGATAAGCGCATCTTCCTCTTCCAGCAGAAGGGCATGGTAACAGTAAAAAGAACACGTTCTAATGATAATGTGTGAGTGGAAAGCTGGTAAACCGCAGCTTATTTTTCACAGTCAAAGAACTCACACTTGTGTTACTCCTCCTCAAAGTCAGTGTAAGTAATGTCTCTCTCCCCCTGTCTCCTCCCCACTATTCATGTTTAAAGTATATTGTGCTGCTCTGCCAAAAGGGTAAAGTAACCTGAAACAGGTTGTAACTATGCAGCGTTAAAGCGGTGTAAGGTGAGTTTCTGTGTAAATGACCATCATTGCCTTAATGTATTGCAGCCAGTTTTTCAGACAGGTTCTCTCAATTTCCTGGGCCTCCAAGAACGTACGTGACTCAAATACAAAATAGGACCAAAAGTTTTGAGGTCTATTTTTACATACACAAATGTACATATCTTTTTCTGTGTGTGTATATATATATACACATGCACACACTTTTGTACATATAGAAAGGGATGCCTGAGTGCCTGCTGTCTATTAGGAGTATAGTGCGGACGTGAGAAACAGGAGTTAATTAAAACAACAGAAATGTTACGGATTATTAGAAGACGTAGTGATAAGCAACTTAGTGACCTCTTGTGCTCTGGGAGAATTGAATCGGAGTTTGCTAAAACATCTAATCATTTCTCCCTGTAATGTACCTGCGTGTTAAGACTGACTGATGTAGCCAAAGTCCTTTATTCTCTTGACTCCAAATGTCTTTTCCTCCAGCTGTGTCTTATCTTTGGGAATGTCTGAAATGCTCTTCTCTCTCCAACTTCTGCTGACCTGCTTTAGGTTATTGGGAGACACCTCTTTTTTCCTGACTCGCTGTTGGTTTAAGATGCGTTTCCGGAACTGTACAGCCATGTATGATGAGAAATGCGCAAAGGATGCCATCTAGTGCTGTCTAGTTAGTGGTAGCAAACTCTGCCTTGCACAGCCTTCTCAACGTTTCATTTAACGCAGAGTCGCCCTAAATTCTGATGAATGAGCAAGTTATTTCTCCTACGTTTCCAGGAAACCATGAAAATGTAGAAATAACTCTGCGTACCCCAAACATCAGATCTTTGATTGTCGGTCATGCTGTACTTAACCAGCAAAGCCTGTGCTTGTTTGACGTTTCAGCAGCCAGTGTTGTGGGGGGTTTCCCCAGGCCGTCTCTTCCATGTGACAAACCAAAATCAGAATTAATTCTGTCCTTTTGTCACTTCAAAATCAGGTACGGGTCTAACTCCCGAGCTTTTCTTTGTATTTTAAAATTCAGTAGAGGTGACGAGCTTGGGATGTTCCTGAAGGCAGTATGATGCTTGCACTTGCTATGATGAGTTTGTTCAGTACCTTGATACTCTTTGCTCCTGATCTGGGACTGGGGACACTGAAAGAAGAAAACGTGTTTTCAGAATAAGCAGGAAGATGTTCTGAACTTGTTTTCCCCAGCACACGTTTCCTTCAGCTGTAGTGAGAACAGCGAGCGGTTAGTGCTGCATTCGATGACCCGGCGGGTTTACTCAAACTTTTCCTTGTGCAACCTGCCCTGAAGGAAAGCAAGGAAAGCAGCCTGGTGGTTTTGGGTTTTTATTTTTAGCCTCAGGGCACTCTAAGGAACATACTTTGGTTATGTTTGGGGCCTGATTTCCAAGAAGGCCAATGGAAATGGGTCAGAGATGTGTTACGGATGGGACTTCTGGGTTTTCTGGCCTCTCTATGGGATTTGCTTTTGGAAATGTTTGCACTGAGGTGATGTACCCGTCGCTTAGGCTTTTCAGAGCGTGTTTCCCAGCTGTGGCGCAGATTGTGGAGGTGACCTGTGAGGGGTTCACAGATTCATTTCGTTTTGGAAACGTAGGCTTAGAAGTTAGCGGACAGATGGTGGAGACAGAGGCCTTCCTGGCTCTTTGCTTTTTTTTTAATTGGTGGTGTTGTACAGGCAGGAAGGACCTTTGCTTTGTAGCCATTTCTCCTCTCCCCTCTTCTTCCTCCTCTATTTATTATGCTATTTAATGATGGCTCCTCAATTAGTGTCCCGGACTCCTTTGTGTGGAGGTTTCACCGTGATCAATTGTCATCAAGGCTCACGTTTAGTACATCCAGTCAATGATGTTCCGTATAACAGCTGTGGCATTGACTGATTTCTAATTTTGTGGTATGTTGAGCCCTGTTGAACTCTTTTAATATGATAATTGCTTTCCTAATCACTAGTCGTGATTTGCGTGCAATTGCGGGTTATGGGCATCAGTTGATATCCCTTGGTGTTTGTATTTGACTATACGAAAGATGCGTGTGGTGACACACATTTAATTTATATATGTGGTGGATATTAAATAGAATAATATTGGGGAAAATACTATATCCTTGCATATTGGACTTGTAAGAAATAGGTTATTAGATAATTTAGACAGGAATATTTCTTCTTTTTATATGGGATAGCTATTAAATACTACCTTTTAAGTTTATAGGGACACCTATTAAACAGCTTATTTTGTAACTACATCATAAGCATTCATTTGTTCATACATTAAATACTATGTTTATCAATTATATAATAGATTAAAACCCCCCCACTCATCATATATGGCTATGGGCACTCTCCTTTACTCATACAATTTATAACTTTACATAAGTTGTAAATATGTACAGACATTGAAGAACATCACCTGTATATACTTCAAATAACTGCTCTGTTTTTCTTGTGTTTTATTAATACCATTTTATAAAATCCACCTACAAGGGATCATAAGGAGACATACCTATATAAAAAATACATTTCTGTTAGACTTGAGCTGAGGTTGACTTCTATCCAGGTGCTGTCTTACACGTTTTTGCTTTGAAGTTATTCCTCGCATGTCGCCCCCTCACCTTTTGCGCGGTACGTGTGACACCGCACAGCCTGCTCGATGTGTCCGACAGGGATGGGTCACTCTGGCTGTGGGACCAGGAGCTGGCAGCGCCGTATGCGTGTCCAACACTGCCATGAGGACCAGAACCTTATTAATATTCTTTTGGGAAGTACAACCCATAATATCACTTAAGGAAAAGGAAAAAAAAAAGATGAAAAGGTAAGTTAATTTACTGGCCATCAGCATGTT